CCGAGGGTTCGGATCCCACGTGCAGACCGGCGGCTCACTGGCTGAGCAAGGAGCGGGGGCAGCACCGGGGGTTGCGATCCCGTTGCCGGTCCCGGTCCGGTACGAGCGCGACACTGAGGGTTGCGATCCGTTGCCGGTCACGAAAAAAGACAAAAAGACAGAAAAAAAAAAAGAAATGCATGAGGTCAATCCTGTTAAGCAAGCAAACCAAGTGTGGGAGAGGGCAACAAGGTATTTAGATTCTTGTTGACTATGGATTGCATTAGTGATGTCTATTACATATGTGCATGTTGTTTTATATGGGGAACTCTGGAGACTGTAGTTGCTTGTTTTTATGCAAAGCCCTTGGTCTCTAATGCCACCGAGTGTGAATTTGGGCTTCCTTCTCCATGAGCAAAGCTTTTGGATGGCGATTGCAAATAAACTTCGAGCTCTTACAGTTCTGTTACTTTCCCCTAAAGAGCTGTTTACACCTAACCCAACATAATAAGGAGGTTCAGGATTTAAGCATAGCCAACAATCGGATGTTAAACTTGGGTTAGACTGATTAATAAACATAAAGACAGAGTCTAAAGTATTAAGGAGAGGATTTGTAAAAACATAGTTAGAGGTTCGGTTAAGGGACTTGGGGGTTTGAACCTGGGGAGTCGAATAAGGGGGTGAGGGTGGAGGTTGAGGGAGAACATCTTGGTTAGGGTATTTGGAGCATGGGGGAAGGGGTAGGAGATCCTGGTTAGGGCCAATAGGGATGCTCAGTTGTTTTTCTCATAGCAATTGAATAGTGAATTCTCCCCCAGGGTCTACTCAAGAAATATGTAGCCTTATGCCCCAGGTCCTACCAGCCTTCCATGTCTCACTCATATATGGATGCCGAAGTATGAGTTAGATTCATGGGGTTACATTGGTTAACAGAGCAGTCCCCTGAGCGGGCTTGTCATCTAGTCAGCTGTATCCAAGGTTCTGTGTGTGTCCAAGAGAATTCAGTTTCATAGTCCCAAACGGCACAGTGGTATTGTTTTTCCCCTTGGCAGGAGGGACTGGCTGAAGCTGGGCATGCATAAAATTGTATGCCCCTTAATCCCTGTTCATATTTTTGGTAGCCACATGAGTGGGGGGGGATACTACCATTACTCCTCCCCCCATAGGTCCATTAGCCTGGATGCCAGTAGTCTGGGTTTTTAATTGGAGACTGCCTGACATTAATTCACAGAGATCAACTAGGAAGGTTGGGGCCTCTGGGGTAGTGACAGTCAATAATTTTTCCTGTACTAGTGGCATTTAACTCCCAGGTATAAGTTTTAGGTTGATGCAGGCTCCCCAATACAGACATTACATAATGAAAAACAATTAATACAATTAAGGAGATGAGTGAGTCTTATCTTTAGTGAGTCTTCTGGTGAGTGCTGGGCCATCCATTTTTCCTGGAATTGTTGCAGGTCCATCAGTCAGGTTTGGAGGCTCATTTGAGTTGGGTGTGATGTATCCAATGGCTCTTTCCTGCAACCTTTACAGCCATTGGGGTGGTCAGGATGGAAGGGTCCTTGCCACCTGGGCTCAAGGGTAGACGGGTGGTGGTGCTTTACCCAGAAGAGGTCCCTGGCTGGTGTGGGTGTGGTGTCAGTTCTCTTGCCAGTGGGTGGGCTTCTCGAATCAAGGGGTGAATTTGGTTCAGTACCTGTTGAAGGGCTTGGAGAGACCGAAGTAAATTGTGAATTAGTGATTTCAGCAAGTTTAATCATCCCTGAGATGGGGTAACAAGGGGGGTGGTCTTCCAAACATTATTTCATAAGGAGTGATTCCTTTGATATAGGGAGTATATCTAGCTCATAGAAGGACAAAGGGAAGGAGACTCACCCAGTTTTTGCCAGTCTCTAGTTTTAGTTTGGTAAGAGTTTCTTTTAAAGTTTTATTCATCTGTTCTACCTGTCCTGAACTCTGTGGCCTATAGATACAGTGTAATTTCCAATTTATCTTTAATGCTTTTGCTAATAATTAATAAATATGGGCTGTAAAAGCTGGACCACAGTCAGACCCCAAGGATATAGGCAGGCCAAATCTGGGGACAATCTCTTGTAATAACTTTTAAAGTGTTATCTGAGCAGTTTCAGTTTTAATCGGAAAAGCCTCTACCCAACCAGAAAAGGTGTCTACAAATACCAAGAGATAGCAGTACCCATATTTTCCAGGTTTTACTTCAGTGAAGTCAATTTCCCAATGTCCTCCAGGACTGGATCCTCGTGCTCTGGTTCCTGCAGGTACTTCAGACTTTTGTCCTGGGTTTATTTGGGAGCAGACCTCACAGTGTCTCATAAAGTCTTTTGTTAGTTTGTCCAAATTATGAATGTAATAATTTTTCCGCAATAATTTCGTGCTCTGGTTCCTGCAGGTACTTCAGACTTTTGTCCTGGGTTTATTTGGGAGCAGACCTTACAGTGTCTCATAAAGTCTTTTGTTAGTTTGTCCAAATTATGAATGTAATAATTTTTCCGCAATAATTCAGTTAATTTAGTAGCTCCGAGGTGTGTCCCTTGGTGAAGTTGTTCTATCAACAGTCTATCTAGAGCTTTGGGTAGGTAAATTCCTTGATCTGGTAAAACTTTCCATCCTGCATCATTATCTGAGGTGCCTAATGCCCTTGCATGAATGACCTCTTCCTCTGAGTAGTGTGGGGCCGGTGGTAATTGAGGTGCCGGTATGACCACCAAGGACTTTGTTGGCCCCACTGGTTTTAGTGTGGCTTCTTTTGCTGTTTGGTCAGCAAGGGCATTTCCTTGGGCTTCAATTTAGTCACCTTTCTGGTGTCCTCAGCAATGTATGATGGCCACCTTTTTAGGATACCAGATAGCTTCTAGGAGATCTAAGATCTCCTCTTTATTTTTTATGTCCTTTCCTCCTGATGTTATTAATCCTCTGTTTATAAAGGGCCCCGTGTATGTGGGCAGTAGCAAATGCATATCTACTGTCAGTGTATATGTTGACAGTCTTGTCTTTTCCTGTGTTAAGGCTATAAATTCAACTTCTTGAGCAGAGGTCACTTGGTTTAGAGCTTGTGCCCTGGCATACCTGATCCCGTCGGCAATGAAGCTGCTTCCATCTGTGAACATCACCTCATAAGGTTCCTCCCAGGGCACATCTGTCAGGTCAGGTCAGAGTTCCTGGAGTGCCTCTATAGTTTTGACGCAGTCGAGGAGGGGTTCCTCTGGGTCGTCATCTGGGAGGAGAGTTGCCGGATTCAGAGATGCAGGCTCACGAAACTTTACTAGAGGTTGATCTAAAAGTAAGGCATGATATTGAGTGATGCGGGCATTGGTGAGCCAATGCTTGGGAGCACTCTTTAAAAGAATTTGCACAGAGTGAGGTGCCACCAGGTTATACCTTGCCCTAGGGTCAGCTGGTCGGCTTCCTTCACTAGCAGGGTGGTTGCTGCTATGGGCATGGACACAAGTGGGCCATCCAGGTCTGCCACTAAAACCCCCCCAAAGAGGCCAAACCTTCTCCAGTCCCCCAAGAGGCTGAAGCTCCACCGTCAGAGCCACCTAAGGAGGAAGAACCTTCTCCAGCTCAGCAGGTGGCCCCATCTCAACCTGCAGGACTCCCTGAGAAGGTAAAACCATCTCCGGTCCATCACAAGGCTCTTCCTCAGCCGCTAGGTCCCCCAGAGAAAGCAGAACCCTCTCCAGCTCTGCAGGAGGTCCCAGCTCAGACTGCAGAGCCCTCTGTGGTGGTGGAATACTCCCCAACCCAGCAGGTGGTCCAAGCTTAGATTCCAGAGCCATCTAAGGAAGTTGTAGCTCAACCTCCAATGCATTATGAGATGACAGTTCCAAAACCAAGTCAGGTTCAAGCTCAGAATCCAGCGTTATCCAGTATCACAGTTAAACCTTTGGATATGGAGGTTACCATAACTCCAGAACCCACTGTAGAGGATGAACATTCTACATCCCTAAAGAAGCCTACAGCTCCTTCTGCAAAGTCCCTGAGGTAACATATCCACGTCCAGACCAGGCTCAGGCTCAGCATCCAAACCTGACTCCAGTCACAGCTCAACCTGACACTTACCGTAACTCCAGAACCCACTCTGGAGGCTGAACATTCTACAGCGCTGAAGAAGACTACAGCTCCACATCCACACCAGGCCCAGACTCAGCATCCAAAGATGACGCAAGTCACAGTTCAGCCTTTGGACCTCGAACTTACCATAACTACAGAACCTACTATAGATCTGAAACCTTCTCCCACCATGCAGAGGACCCCAACTCAGCCCCCAGAACCACCTAAGTAGGTTGTACCTCAACCTCCAGTGTATCAAGAGGTGACAGTTTCAAAACCAGGTCAGGATCAAGTTCAGCCACCAACGTCACCCAGTGTTGCAGTTTGGCCTTTAGACCTGGAGCTGACTGTAACTTCAGTATCTACTACAGAGGCTGAATACTCTATAGCACTGGAGAAGACTACAGCTCCACATCCACACCAGGACCAGACTCAGCATCCAAAGTTGACACAAGTCACAGTTCAGCCTTTGGACCTGGAACTTACCATAGCTACAGAACCTACCACAGAGCTGAAACCTTCTCTCACCATGCAGAGGACCCCAACTCAGCCCCCAGAAGCACCTAAGGAGGTTGTACCTCAACCTTTAGTGTATCAAGAGGTGACAGTTTCAAAACCAGGTCAGGATCAAGTTCAGCCACCAACGTCACCCAGTGTTGCAGTTTGGCCTTTAGACCTGGAGCTGACTGTAACTTCAGTATCTACTACCTGGGGTCTAAAGAGTGGCTATAATTTGTTAAAAAGAGAAAAAATAGGGAGTACAGTCCAGACAAAGCCATGGCTGCAGGAATGATCAAAATTTACATCAATTGGCTGCAAAGAATTGGGTTAGGAATCAATGATTATGAAAAAACTTGAATATCAGGTATAGAGCTTTGAAAGTTACACAAAGAGAGATGGAGAGCCATTGAAAAAACATTTTTTTTAAAGGATCACCAGTAAGGGGATCTTAACCCTTGGCTTGCTGCACCACACTCAGCCAGTGAGCTAACCGGCCATCCCTATATAGGATCCAAACCCGTGGCCTTGGTGTTATCAACACCGCACTCTCCTGAGTGGGCCACGGTGCCCGCCCGGGCTATTGAAATTTTTAAGCAAAACAGATAAATGATTAAAACAGGGTTATTTTAGAATACATATTTAGAGTGATCTAGAAGAGGAAGCATAATAGAGACAGACTAAATAGAAAGCTGTAGCAAAATCTAGGAGTGGTGTGGAAAGGGTCTGAATCAGACTGGTTGTGGTAAGAGTGCAAAGAAAATCCTGGGAGCACTTCAAAGAAAGAACAGATGGGATTTAATAACTGACTAAAGAGTTGGGGGATGGGGTGTACAGGAAACAATCAAATATAACTTCAAAGTTTCTATCCTTGAAAATGAGGAGAAGGATGGTGGTATAACAGGTGGAAATGTAACAGGTGGGAAGGAGAGCCAGTTTGAGGGAGATGAGTTTAGTTTTAGGCATCTTTTATTATCGGTGAGCATAAAGCAACCAAAAGGCTTCTGGTTGAGTGGAAGTATCCACTAGGCAGATGAGCAGACGGGTATTTCTTTTGACTTGTTTCTGCCCCTCCCCAGGGGAAATTGTGTATATAAATTAAGTAAGTTGTTGCTGAGGGACGGGGACAGAGTTAAGGGTGAGGATTCAGTCATCCACAGAGTTGACACTGAATATAAGGAATCTAAGAAGATTCAGTCATCCACAGAGTTGAAACTGAATATAAGGGATCCAACAGCTTCCTTTAAACATGTGTCATTCGTCAAAAGTATATAGGATAAAATGTGAAAATCTGTACCCCCATACCTTTTATTGCCCCCCCATACCCTGCACCCTACTGATACAGGATGTGCTCAGTTTCCCTGGGGTCGGGTTTCAGGACATGCCTCTGGGTTTCCAGCCAACTTCCTGAGGTCTCAGACCCCTCCTCTG